CCTCACTGAAAAGAAACCGCAAAGTTAACGGTCCTTGAAGGTGCTTTTCTTTGCAATCATTTGCTGAAGGAGGAGCAGAGGTCCAGCAAACATACTGTATCTTAATATGAAACATCAGTTTTATTTGTTATCCCATCGTGTCCTCCAATATGAGATTTCCTATTTCAGGGTGAAGTTATAACTCATTAGGCTCATTCCGAGAGTCCAAAACCAGCAAATTGCCTTAGAACTAGATCATTGTTCGTTAAATGCATTTAATTTTATCCTCAGCTTGGAATACAAATCATTTTGGGACAGATTGCAAGTAGCATCATAATTTATTAATTCCTTTATAAAGATTAATATATATATATAAAGTCACAGGGATAGTTCTCACAGGACAAGAAGAGGAGATGGTCCAGATGGAAGACTGGTGTCATCCTGACCTACCTACTTCCATCTCCTGGGATCATTCCCAAAGGGTAGCTGGTGGTAGGAAGTCCTACTAGGGGTGGGGGTTTGAGAATAAAAGCTGGCACCTGCTAACAGTTGAAGAAGATGCCTTTGGGACGCTTTATTTCTATTTGGAGAACAGGTCTTCTGTGATGGCCTGGGAATCTGATTGAGAGGCTGAACCTGAGGAATCCCAGCCTGCACAGGAGTCCCTGCCTCCAGGGCCGGCTGAGCCGGGGCAGAGCCTTGAATCTGAAGGGCCCTCACCTGTGCCGGATCCTCAGGAGCAGACACCAGCTGAATCCACTCTGGCTCGGGAGGTGATCGAGGACCCCATTGCCTGCAGGTGCTCCTCTCCCAGCCCTGTCAGGGGAAGGTGAGGTTGCCTCTGGGTCCACTAACCCTCCAGCCTCTCCGGAGCTGCAGAGGCTCAGGGCAGAGAGGCGGAGGGAACTAAGTTCTCACAGGAGGAGTGCTCGCCTTAAGGCCAGGAGAGGTGAGTCACCTGTGGACCAGGGCTGCCCTAGGCCTCAGAGGAGATAAAGGCCAGTCAGCCCAGTCCCAGGTTGCGGGAGCAACATTGTTGGTAACCTGTTCCTGCCAGCACCCTGACCTGCTCTTCGGAGTTCCTGACCACGCCCGGCTCCTTGCCTTGGACCCCACTCCATCCTTGACAGACAGCCTCCATACCCTCGACCTAGGACCGGACTCAGACCACGCCGCATGGTAACCCCACCCCACCCGGGACCAGCACATCTTCACAGTTACAAGGCTAGGGTGCAGCATCAACTATGGGGAAGGAAAGGGCAGCCACATTCCAGAATGAACTGATGGCAATCCATTTGCTGCTTTTCTGTTCTCGAATCATAAATTTAGGTTGAAACCAAAACTCCTTCATAAATTGATGACGGTTATTTATAACTGTTGAAAATGGGAATGTTCAGCCAAACAGCCTTGATGGTGCCGATACGTCTGGGTGCATTTGAGGGCCGTTGGAGTGAGTGAAGCATAGTGGGAAAAAATAAACACCCACACAGAAACATACTATATTGGTCTAAACCAGACGAACTCAGAGGCTGTTGAAATAAACAAAGGATTAACATCAGATTGATTTATTGCAACTACCTGGACTAATTAAGAAGAGCAGAACAAATGTGAGATTATCATCACCCCCGACCTCAGAGCATGGGAAGTCAACCAAAGATTTATAATTAGGCATAAAATTTGGATTGTTTGATTATTTTATAATTTGGAATGTTTTTAATGTGGTTTTTATTGGATTCTTAAAATGGAAAACTTAATAAATATTATTATCAGAGAGAGAGGGAGAGGGAGAGAGAGAGAGAGAGAGAGGGGCAGAGTAGGAAAATCATTGGTTCCGACTGGTGTATTCCTAAGGTGGTCCGAGGAGGGAGGGAGGGCTTGATCCCTATTTAAGGGACAATCTGCCTTCTCTGTAGCCTCTCCATTTGCAGCACCACCAGGGGCCTGTACTTACACTTACATCTCAGTCAGATTACAGTGCAGTTGGGTGGGGGAGGAGAGAGATTCCCCCCCCCTTTGTCCACCTGGGTGTTTGCAGCAGCGGAGGGGATCAGCAGCTTTGCAAGAAGGAGAAGAGTGTTTGCAGGGGGCAGTAAATCATTGGGAGAGGTCTGGAGGAGGCTGGCAGGAGCCAGAAAAAAGCAGCAGAGTGGGCTGCCTAGAGAGGCATGAGGAGTTGGTCATCCTTACAGCTCCCTTTACTCCCCCCCCTGCCAAAACAGCATCTAAAACAAAAAGACAACAGTTCTACAATCCAGGAATAAAGCACAAAAGTAGTTTGATTCTTTCTCATTGGACGTACGCCCCCTTTTATTGCCATGTACAATAAATACAACAGAAATGGAACAAAAACCTCATGTATTATTTATAGAACTTAATGTATTAATTTTACAACTGAAGTATTTTTATGCTGTTGCTATATCTCTCTTTGTATTAGATGCTTTTTAAAAAATAAGCTCAGGCATTGGCACAATCATGTAGCATATGTGGGGAGAGTTGCCAAAAATAAAACACAGAACTGCCGAGATTGTGAAATCCACATGGAGCCAGTTCATGTGCATATCTATGAAAACCAAAAGCATAAATAAAATAGCTGGCTCTTCTAGCATTTATGTATTTCTTCGTATCAAATGTTCTTTGTTGTTCAGCTCAGGCCTCAGCAGAATGATGTAGCATTTAGGGAAAAAGATGCAACTCAGTAGCCCAGCACTGGAAGACAAGATGGAGAAGATCTCCACAGCCACCATGTGTTTTCCTCTTGTGCTCAGGTAAGTCGGAACAAAGGACAGCCAAACACTGCAGAAGACCAACATGCTGAAGGTTATGAACTTGGCTTCATTAAAGCTGTCTGGCAACTTCCTGGCTAAGAAGGCCACAGTGAAGCTGACAATGGCCAGGAAGCCCATATAGCCTAAAACACAATATAGCATTGTGGCCGACCCTTCGTTACACAACAGAACAATTTCTTCTGCCATTGAGTCCATGTCCAAATCTGGTTTTGGTGGAGAGGTTGCCAGCCAGACAGCGCAGATGCCTACTTGAATGCTGGAGGAGGAGAGGACTATGGAATAAGCCAACTTTTGTCCCAACCATTTCCTCATCCTGGATCCTGGTTTGGTGGCCATGAATGCCAGGACCACAGATATGGTTTTGGCCAAGATGCTAGACAGGGCCACTGAGAAGATGGTGCCAAAAGCAGTTTGTCGGAGAAGGCAGGTTGCCTCATTGGGCATCCCAATGAACAGCAAGGAGCAGAGGAAGCACAAGAGGAGAGAGACGAGGAGAATGTAGGTGAGGCTCCTATTATTGGCTTTAACTATGGCAGTGTCCCGGTGTTTAATGAAGATGCCAAGCACCAAAGCTGTGATCAGAGAGAACAGAAGTGCAAAGGCAGTTGAAACGATTGTCAAAATGTCATCAAATGCTAGGAAATTTGGCGTTTTGGGGATGCATTGATCCTTGGCTTTGTTTGGATATTGATCTTCTGGGCATCTGCGACAAGTTTCTTTTTCTAAAAAAAAAGTGAATAAAAAGAACTGTTCTAAGGCTTGAGCACAGCCTTCCCAGGAGTCTGCCTGAGTATATTTCACAAGGGAAAAGGCCAAACTTTTCTGGCCAAGATGCTTCAAAAACAAATTCCACCCATCATATATGCAAATTACCTACTTTTCCCCAGCCAAATTCTATCCAGATCTTTTTAATGTGCCCACGGATAGATGGCACTGGGAAATATAACGTGGCAACAGTCTTAGTGGCCACTTGAGCGGTGGAGGGTGAAGAGTGGGAGAGTGGTGCCTGAGTGGCTGAAGCTGCTGAGAGAGCAGATGACTCAACTGCAGAAGTTGGCGAGTGAGTGGCTGGTGGAGGACATGGGAGTCCGCGACAGAGCAGTGGAGGCTGGGGAGAGAGTGGGGAGGTGGGAGAGCTCTAGACCTAACCACTCTCTGTAGGGAAGTATAGAAAATAGCCTTCATCACTCATCATAGATATCCTCTAAAATATTTCCTAATCAAAAGAAAGATGGAGGGGGAACACTGCAGTTTTTTGAATATCAGCTCCGTCTTCTCTAATTGAGAAAACTTGAGCTTATGCTCAGTCAATTGTGTATTTTGCCTCATCAATTCAACAGTTTGGATCATATGGCATTATTGTCTTCTTTAATGATATTTCTATCTCTGGTTGACTAAACCTTATATATATATTTCTCTTTGGCAATCCTGAAGTAGATTTGCTTAATTAAAGACACCCATGCATTAACTAATTTTAGATACCAAGACTCTGAATACAGAGGGGGAGAATTAACTACCCCACAACCATGACAGCTGTTTCTAGGATAATCTAAGAGGCTGCTTTAACCACGGACGAAAAGGTTTGATACATCAAATGTTTTCTTAAGATTTTACCCTGAGCAGAGCAAATGTGTTGTGACGTATGAATGTGTGAGAGTTATTACATACATGTGTCAGGACCATTAATAGTCCTGAGGTTTCCTAGAGAGGACTGAATAACAAACTCCTCTTCTTCATTTTGACAGGGTACCTACACTGGGAAGACACAGATTCCTGTTACATTTATTTTTAAGCCATTGCATATTCCCAGAAAAGTTTGCAGAGTTGTTGCTTATTCAAAATCACACAGATTCCTGATTGCTGCCTCTTCATTTGGGGGAAATGTACAAATGCCTACCTTAACATCCTTTCTCAGTTAACTGAGGTGCAATTACTAGTAATGGAAGTTATTCTATGTCTTATAGATCACAAATCCGGCCATTATGGCGTCGAAGTCATGTAGAAACTTGTTTATGTTACCATGAATCATTTGTCATTCCAGCAATCTTTTCCTTACTTGATTAAGAGAAAGGAAGTGCAAACATACAGGATACATTTAAGCAGTGAGAACAAATATAAAATGCTACTATTTCATAAAACTTACAAAGCTAATTAAAAGAAGCTTGCAAAAGAACTGGTCACAGTTTACTGCAGTCAATTGTATTGCTTGGTTCATCTTAACGTGACATGTCCTACCCTTCTCGTTTGAGAACATCCCATCTGGACATGGAGCGCAATCGTAGCAGCAAAATTTCTTCCCCTCCTTCTTTTTCTTCCCATTGCCAGGGGGGCATTCATCATTACATTCCGAAAGGGGTGGTACCTGTCCAAAAAAAAGTATCAGAAAGTTTAGTATTAAAATACACTCAGAGAATTCATCTTATATCAGATGATCCTTCGGTAAAAAGTTCTGCCAATGACATTGTGTCTGTGTTCACCATACATTTAAAGCACACATAAAGCTCATCCACCCCAAAGAATCATGAGAACTGTAGTTTCTTAAAGGTGCTGGGAATTGTAGCTCTGTGAGGAGTAAACTACAATTCTTTTGGAGAGTTATGCTCTCCAAAAAGATGTAACTGAAGGCAATTATAATATATTCCTCCCCATGAATAGCCCCCCCCTGTGCACTAGGTTCAGGCCTGCTTTCATTAATGAATGAGCCTTGGTTGCCCCTACGGATGAGGTCTACCAGGAGGGAAACAGGGTGAGTATACATTTTGAGGGCTGCTACAAAAATAAAATAAAAATCTGAGGATTTTCTGATTAAATTTAATTGTGTTTTTGCTCCTTCTTCACACATTTGGGGATATGCAATGGGTTTGGTCGCACTGGGAGAGGCTCTTTGGGGGAACCGCAGGGGGTGCTGAAACTGTGGTGCAGAATGGAAGACAATAGGTGGGGGCACTGAATGTTGGTGTCACACAGGTGCTGCTGAAATTTGAGGCCCCTAGGTCTGCCACTGGTCATGTATCAATATATTCTGCTACAATAGTGATTTGTGATTTATGCTTTAACTCGTGCTTCTTATGTGCTTGTTTTATTGTAAATCGCTTAGATACAGCAGCTTAACGAAGTAGATAATGGGAGTTTGTCTCCACTGGAATGCCCACCCTCCACATATTTCATTATTTTCAGCACACTCTTATTTGTCAACACAATGTGGTATTCCACTGAATTTCAAAGCTGTGCATTGCATGAATGAATTCTTCATCCCTCCTTAACATCTCTTAACCCTCCCATTTCACTGCATGGCGATGAATGCTGATACTTGAAACCTGAGCCAAGCCTCTGTGCCATTCCAAGGGACTGTCCTCATCAATGGTCAGTTCTTTGCCAGGAGGTTTCTGAGGGTCCAGCATCCCCACTTTCATCCTGATGTAGGAATTGTTAGGGAAAGTGACCACGTTTGTAACATCAAATCCAGCTGCTAATTCCCCATGTTCATTGAGTGCAATTAAATCTCCAGCGCTGTTGTTGAAGGAGATCTGGTGAAGGAATGAGTGGAGCTTGGAAAAAAAGAGAAAGATAAAAAATGTTGAAATATTAAAGTGGGGATGGAGAAGCTGTGGCCCTCCAGATGTTTTCAGACTGCAACTCCCATCAGTGCTCACCAATATCTGGAGGGCCAGATGTTGAGTGAACTTGAATTCCACTGTGAACTCATCACGAACTAATTCATCTTGTAAAGGGACAAATGTGAAGTGGAATCTGTTATTTTTGGACACATATTACTCAAAGTAACACTACTCCCTGTTAAAAATGAATTTTAGAATCTCTCGTTCTACAGGAGGAAGGAACTCAGCCTATCTGGTTCCACTTCTGCTCATATTTGAAAGGGATTTTAAAAAAATCTGTGCAGAAATTAAGTGTATTTTTTAATGCCTTTTGACATATGCAATTTTTTTGGTCCTCGTCCAGATGGAATGGGATGTCCAGAAATAAAAACAGTGATGACTCTTTCTGATTTATAATAAAATATAATAAATATAATAAAATATCTGATGGACAGAATGTAAACAGGTGAAGCTTTCCTCTTTATTATATTTCCATATAAGAAATCTCTCAACATGTTGATTTCCTGCCCTGACAGACAACTGTTGAATGCACCATAACCTCGCTTCCTCCCTTCTATGCAAGTCTCAAGCCTAGGCTGAAATCCTGCACTCACCTAGACCATTGTACTGTAAGTTAACTAAATGGGTACCTGGTGTTTTGCTCCTGCACAATGGGAGGTCTGCTTATGCCTCTTTCCAAGTTTTCCCATTTGGCACAGGTAGAGGAGTATTCCTTAATATCCCCCCCCACCATGTGCTGTAGCATTTTCAAAAAATATCTCTTCTGTATGCCACACCACTGGGCACAACCCAGGGCACAACTTGTCTGTAAGGAAGCACTACCTGCCAGGGCTCCACGTTCCAAGAAGACAGTCTGTCCCAAGCCTCCGTTCTTCTGTTGTTGGCTCTCACTGAGTACCAGGCATGCAAGGCATGTGCTAGAGCATGGACAGCATTATAGATACTGTAGCTGTGGCCAGTCATGCGCATTTCAAAGAACGGTGTAGCAAGGCTCTCCAGCATCTCCTCTTCTGTGCATGCACTTCTGAAGAACTTAGAAATTCCCGAGTCTGAAGCAGAACAACGGAATGATTCTGCCCAGAAATCACTGATGAAACCATCTCCAACTGCCCAGGAAGGGTTTACATTCCGAAGAAAGTCATAGAAATCTTGAATCTCCTTTGTGTGAATTGTGAAAGAGAGAGTGCCATGGAACATTCGGGTCGAAAGGCCAGTCATCATTTGAACTTTGAAGAACTTGAAATCAATTTGGGCTGTCGTGATCCACACCTTTGCCGCAGAGAGTTTATACAAAGGATATTTTAGTTGATAGGCATGGATTATTACTATAGTATTTGCCAACCATGTAACTGGTGCACTTTCTCCAGATACAATAACAGCATTGGCTTTGCTCGCCAGGAAACCTGGGAGATTTCCGACTCGCTTTAAGAACATTTGAACCAGACCTTTGGAGAAGCGCGCATTTGTTGGAACTATGTCTGTGAATTCAGAACAGATCCCACTCTTGGAGAGCATTGACTCTATGACCTCCAAGAAATGTTCTCCACCTTCATCATCCTGGGCAATGAGACCGACCCATTTCCATCCAAAATGCAAAAGCAGCTGGACGATTCCTCTGTACTGAAAATCTTCACTAGGAACCATTCGATAAAAGGAAGAGGACTTGGTTTGGTAATTGACTGCTGGTTGAAAAGAGCCATATGAAATCTGAAAAACAATAGCCAGGCAGTACATACAGAGTGGAAACAGGAGCTCATACTGATTTCATTTATCTAAATATTTCCATACAGTGCAATTTTATATACCCACAATTTACTTATTTTTAAGCCGCTGTTTCCTTTTACAAACCAGCACAAAATAAACATATGGTATCTTTTCCTTGAGCTATTCAGTCCTATTACTTTTCTATGTGTATAATGCACATGTTTGGGACTTCTTCCATCTTGTTCGTATAGTTGGATACCCATATTATTTTATTTTGATCATTTCTACCTCACTTTTAAGTAAAAAATGCTTCCAGAGTGGGCTTACATAGAGTCAACTAAAACAAGAGTTTCCATGATTCAAGTCCATGTCATTCAGACCATATTAATTTCCTTTCTCATTACACCACTTCCATAACTTTGAATCCTACTAGAAAGAGAGTATCAAGGGAAGTCCTCATTTCTCTACTTCTCAGATCCTACCTGCGGAATCTTGAAAAGACCTAAGATGTCTGCCATGCGTGAAGATGTATCAGAGCTGAATCCACCTATGGCTCCTATTACATTTTCCTGGGTGCCACATTTGTAGTTGGGGATGAAGTGATGTGATTTGAAGAGTAGGTCCATAGTGGTGCGGTAGGTCATCTTTGAATCAGTATAGCTGTCGTAGATGTGGAACCCGAGGGTGACATTGGGCAGGATCCTGGGATTGTCATTGATCTCATCAACAGCAAACACCAGGGCAAGGATGTGCTGGTAGAACTTGGTCACCAGGCTGCAAATAAAGTGACTTTCACAGGATAATGATACATTGCACAAAATATCTCATCACAGTATTCATCTCCACAGTACTCTTCAGTATTCAGCTACCTGACTATAAGAATGATAGAACCAGAAAAGTTATTCACCAGTTAAGTCCTGTTGGGAAGAAGGAGAATGTGCTGGGGATAACTTTTGCTGCATTGCACTCTTGGAAGCTGTTTTCTTCTGAGTCCCTCTATTTCACCATTGTCTGTACAAGAGGAAGGGGAACTTGTGGCCATTGAGATGACACTGGGCTCCCAACTCACATCAGCCACAGCCACCGTGATTAATGAAGAGGGAGGACAGGGCTGGAGTTCAGCAGCAGAATAAAAAACTACAGGCTCCCTAGCCCTGGTCTGTTCTATCAGGTGCTCAAAAAGTTTTAAAGAGGGTCATTTCCCAACTCTACTGACATCACCTTACCCTGCATTAAGAAGCTTCTGCACGTAAGGCATGGGGTGCTCTTCTAGAGAACTGTTTGCTGCCATGCTTCAGACTTTTCTTTAGCAACCTGTTTCATGACACAAATGGATCATTCAAAGGAGCTGCTTGATATCCTAGGCTGGTGTTTGGCAGCAGTTTCTGTTTGTTCTGTTATGTTCAAGTTTTCTCTGGAAATAGGTAGTCAATGGGGACAAAGTATTGACTGGCGTTTTTTACTCTGCTCATTTCTCTCTCTCTTCCTGCACTTTCTAACAAGTACCGAATAGTAGAAGTGCTGCAGAGCCTCTCTCCCCATACCAGTGTGGCTCAAGTTTACCTTAATGGAGTGAGAAAGGACAGGGTGTGGGGAGGTTGAGGCTATAGGGACACACCAGCAGGACACTCTCTTTCTCCCACAATTGTGTCCTTATCATCACCCTATCTCACTCCAGCCCTGTCCATTCAAGGTGCAGCCATTCAATTCCTTTTTTCCCTGAATTTCTGCCATCTCTCTCTCCGTCTGTCTCTCTCTCTCACAAATTTCTGTCTCACCCTCTTTTCTCTCAATTTCATCCCCTTTGCCACCCATCTACAATTAGCTGAAAGGTTGCAAATTGCCTACTCCTGAAATACAGAACTTTATAGGTTCAATGTGCTTGAATATGTACAATTTTCATAAAATAAGAATGCATATATATAAAAATACATACATATAAGAGATAAGAATAGTTGGATCATCAAAGGATAATGTTTCCAAATGCCCAACTGACCATAAAGGCACAGTTTACACTCATTGATGTTTGAGAATTTCATGTTCTTCTCAACCAGTGGTTCTTATCCACCCACCCACCGTTTTTGAAAAATTCTAATAACTTTTCAAAGCAGTAAGACCTGCAGTTCTTCATGCATATATAAAGACTAAACACCACTAAAATAAAATGACAGGCAGTTTTCTTACGTTGGGGTGGCAGCTATCGAGACCTGAGAAGGGTGCATGTTGAATACAATTTCAGGGGAAAAGTAATGCATAAGAGATGCCATCCCACCAATGAGGAGATCACTTGTCTCATACCAGTCATGTGGAACATGTACTGGATTACTTCCGACACACTTACTGGTATGTACTTTGAACACCATGTTTGGGAGCAGCAGGAGCAGGAGCAGGAGCAGCACCAACATCTGGATGGGCAACTTCCTTCTGCAAACGAGGCTCCTGTGTTTCTCAGGTCAAAACATCATTCTGACCACCAGCCTGATTTCAGTATTACGTCTTGGATGGAAACAGACTCTGCCAGTGCACTTCATCATCTACATTGTCAAGGGACAAGATCTGAAGAATATACTATATACAATGAAAGAAGGGAAACTGACAGAGCCCCCTCTTAAGCCTAATCTTGGCTGCATCAGAAGCAACGCAGTACTTATAACCATTCCAGGCTTGCTTGTTGATGTTTTCCCCTCTGTGGCTTCCAAGAAAGCTGCTGGAGCTTTGGGTCAATTACAGTGATTCATATAATGACAGGGGAGATAATTACATCTCCAATTTGTTGACTCAATGGTAGTTGAACTTCCAGAGCAATAATCCTTTTCCCGTAATAGTTTATATTGAATAATAGAATCATAGAGTTGGAAGGGACCTCAAAGGCCATATAGTATACCCCAGCCTCTGCAGGGAATCCACTGCTATACAATTCCTTATACTTAGGTGGGCATTCATCCTCTGCTTACAATGACCTAAGAAAAGAAAGTCTACCCCCCTCTGAGGAAGGCCATTGCCCCAGTAGTTTTTGCCATCAGAAATCTCTTCCTGATGTGCCACATTTAGCAGATGGATCTGGTAGATTCTGGTGTTACATAATGTCAGATGATGAAGCTACAGGGAAATCCCAGTTAATCCATTAGTATATGATTCTACAAATCATCAAAGAAGTGGTGGCCTAGAAATGGCCTAGAAATGTCAGTGCCACAATACACCTTGGACAGAGCAACCCTAAATATAGAAACCAGCATAATTCAAGATGACATAAACTATCCCTATTCCAAACCATTCTGGAGCTTCTGGGAGGGGCGACCGCCAACTAAACTGATAATGAGTGTAAGCCTAAATTTTCATGATCAGGCCCTAGGTACTATGACCCAACTGAGTGGGATTTGAAACAGATGTAAGTCTCTCTTTGCCCTGTCATGTTCGCCTCACCCCCAGAACACTAATGGGGTTTATTTGTTTATTTCATTTTATTTACACCAGCATAAATTAATCTACTTTAAATTAACCAGGATGAGCTCTGGGTGAATCAGGGTGAGGAACTTGCACTGGCATATTTCCAGCTGAGCAATCATGGACAACTTTTCAGATCAGCCTCAGCACCTGAGGACTGGAAAGTGGCCAATATATATCCTATTTCTAAAAGAGGGGTTTTGAGAATACTTTGGTTTGGCAATTATTATTTTTTCCCAATGTGTGTGTGCATGCAAGCAAGCACATGTGCGAACACTTGCGAATGTCAATGTGGTAACAGAAAGTGTGAATCATTGGACTTTCAGAAAAATTGACCAAGGAAGCTCAGGCTTTAGCTGGAAAGAGAGATGAGGATGATTTCATAGGGGCATTGTATCTTTTCTTTTATTGCATATTGAAGGGCACATCACTCAACAGTGGCAACCACCAAATTCACACTTACAACTCAGGAATAATATTTCCCATTTTAAGCATTATATAGGGGGAGGGGAGAGGGATATCTGTTGTGGGAGGGGATAAATGTATGTGTACTTTATCTCATTTATTTCTTTTTAACTATTAGATGTTCTTTCTTGTTCAGCTCAGGTCTCAGCACAATGATGTAGCATTTAGGGGCAAAGATGCAGCCCAGTAGCCCAGCACTGGAAGCCAGTATGGAGAAGATCTCCACAGCCACCATGTCTTTTCCTCTTGTGCTCAGGTAAGTTGGAATGAAGGTCAGCCAAACGCTGCAGAAGACCAACATGCTGAAGGTGATGAACTTGGCTTCATTAAAGCTGTCAGGTAACTTCCTGGCTACGAAAGCTACAGTGAAACAAACAATGGCCAGGAAGCCCATAAACCCCAAGACGCAGTAGAACATAGTGACCGACCCTTCGTTACATAAGAGCACAATTTGATCCATCATTGCATGTGTATCTCTATCTGGAAAGGGGGGAAACATTGCCAGCCAGAGAGCGCAGATCCCCACTTGGATGTGGGAGCAGGACAGAATGATGGAATAAGCCGACCGTTTCCCCACCCATTTCCTCATCCTAGATCCTGGTTTGGTGGCCATGAAGGCTAAAAGCACAGATGCAGTTTTGGCCAGGATACTAGAGATGGACACGCAGAAGATGATCCCAAAAGCAGTTTGTCGGAGAAGACAAGTCACCTCATTAGGTTTCCCAATGAACATCAAGGAGCAGAGGAAGCAGAAGAGGAGGGAGATGAGGAGAATGTAGGTGAGACTTCTGTTGTTGGCTTTGACTATGGCAGTGTCCCGGTGATTAATGAAGATGCCGAGCACCACAGCTGTGAGCAGAGACAACAGTAGTGCAGAGGAAGTTGAAACAATGGCCAAAGTGTCACCAAATGCCAGGAAGTTTGGCATCTTAGGAATGCATTGATCCTGGCCTCTGTTTGGATATTGGTCTTCCGGACAACTGACACATGTTTCTTCATCTGAAAAAGAATGCAAGATAATTTAAGAACCAGAATGATTCATGCTCAAGAAGAGAAGCCTACCTTGTGTTTTTACTCATGGAGTGTTTCAAATTCTTCTGCCCAAAGTGCATCAAGTAGAAATGTCATGAATCATATCTGGTTTGAAATATAGTTTTCTCCTGATGTTCAAAAAAGTTAGTCTTAAAATAAAAAGCACTGTTAAGTGAAATGATACAACCATCCTGGCAGTAGTTCAAAATTGTAGGAGTCAACAAAGAAAGGTGTATTGGGACTGTCACACTGAACTCTCCCCAAACTGCCTCATTTTCATTAAAAACACACACACCCAACAGTCTGATTCATCTTCTGATGTTTTATTTCATGGCCATCTAGTCTGATTGTCATAGTTTTAATAAGATGTACAAAACACACTTTGCTTTCAAAGTATCTGAAAACTATTTTTTTTATTATCATTAATAAAGAAACATTTAAGTAAACATATGGAAATAACTGAAGTATGTGCTGTATGCCCCAGTCTCACATTATGGTCGGGAAGGAAGTGATTTTGCAATCAGTGTTTACTTAGGGACAAGAGGAAAGTCTTACTAAGGGTCGTTTTTGCTGCACAGAAAAGGAGATCACAGGATGCAAATAGAAATAACACCAGATTCAAAATGCATAGAACATAGACTAAATATGAATTGGAGATAAAAATAAAAAACTTGTTGATAATGAATCTAATTTCTAATAATATTTTAATTCAAAATGAGTCTTAATATTATGTTGAAATAGTAAGGCTTAAGACAAGCATTGGGGAAAGTATGCCTGGGGTTGAAATGTGATTCCCCATCCCTTTCTTGACATTGGGGCTCTGTCCAGGCCATGCTCCTTGCCCCAGTCCTTTTGTGTGGCTGGAATGTGTTGTCGAACTGTGATGCTGCCTCTTTCTTGTGTAGTTGGCCGATTGCCAGGTGCCTGGTCATAGTTTGTGTGCAAAGCTAGGCATTTAATATGTCCTGAAATTAACCCACAGGGTGTAGATCATAACCATTTGACTACTCTCTCTGCCCCTACCCAACAGTAGTCTGTTTTCCTAGAAGGTTGAATTTGGGCTGAAGAAGTTTCTCCTCCCAAGCCTTAAAATATTACAAGCCCACATTTTGATTTTGAGAAGCAATGTATTTCTTCTTGTTGTTTCATTTTGGGGGGTGGGGAGGAACTAAATATTATGGGTTGTTTTCAATGTAGTGCTAAGAAGATCATTCCATCAGTGCAAGCATGACTTCTTGTCCAACAGAATCAGTTGGATCTCCAGATCAGTTTTGGGGAGAGTTCAGGGGCAAATGGGGAAAGAAGAGGGGGAAAGTTTCCTTGCACTTGTGGAAATCATTGCTTCCACTACCACAATGATTTAGTTGAATATGACTCTCCTCTTACATCCCATAGTATCCCTATACTTCCTTTTCTTGTCAATGTATTGTGTCCTTCCTGTTCTTGTACACATAACAAATTCCCATCTTTCCTCCGATTGGTATGGCAATCAGTTCATATTCCTATACTCCTACCTACATTTTTTGGTGCTCAAAATCTTTCCCCAAAACTCTCAGTGTATGCATGATGTTGCATGCCTAACTCACCCACAGAAAACTAAGAGACTTAGAGACGGATTAAATTGGTAGGCCTTCCCTGTCATATCAATGTGAGGGCTATGAAGGGTAAAACTAGCCATGATCTCTGATGCAGGGATGGTTGACTGGAAAGGACTGAGAAGGAAGACCAAACCTCCACTTCATTGTTCTTACAGGGACTGGTACTAGAAGGTGGGAATTTCTTTTTACGTTCAGGTTAAACCATTGTAGATGCCTCCAAAGATGTTTACAAAATAGCTGCTCATTGGAAACCCCAGAAATCTCTCAAGCTCTTCATTTTCGAGTATGACTTCAAACATCATCTTTAATCTTTCTTCCACAATTACGGCTACTCAAAGTTCCATTCATGTGTTCAAGATCACGAGTCCAATGCCTGCGCTATCAGAGGTATCTGAGAACTTAATGTATCATTCACTGAGCTGTTGATATACTCCTTGGTATGATTAAAACAAAATATCAATTAGATTGTTGTGCCTATGTAAAAATGGGAATCCATGTATAATGCCATAATTTAAAAATGGCCACTATGTTAATGAGAATGAACTTGCAAAAGAGTTGCCCACATTTTACTTCGATAAAATGGATCGCTTGATCTTTTACAACATAGCGTATCCTACCCTTCACATTTGAGATCATCCCAGCAGGACAAGGAGCACAAGCATAGCAGCAAAAGGTCTTCCCCTCCTTCTTTTTCTTCCCATAACCAGGGCGGCAGATGTCATTACATACTGAAAGCGGTGGCACCTACCCAAATATATAGGAACGGTTTAGCTTGAATTCATCTTTTTTCATATTCTATCAGATAATCAACCAGCAAACAGGAGGGCAATTGATACAGAATGCAAAAGCTGTAACTACACAGGTATGCAATAAGTAGTAGGAATATCTGCTCTGTTAAGTATCATAGAAAGACAGATTCGAATTTGCATACTTAGCCTGATCAATGAATCAAATAGTTTAACATTTAATCTCGCATGACTAACTAGAGATTTCCCTCAGGGATTTCACACAGTCACAAAACAGTCAGTATTATGCATTATCTGAAAGCCAAGGACTCTCTTTGGTTAAAGATGTGCTGACTTAATGCCTCTAAATATGGCATTTTTCATCATAATGGTTTGTTTAAGAATCAGATATGTGTGTATAGGAAAAGGTAGTTCATAAAATGATGCCTTGCCTTCAATGAAATACTCAACCTCCATATATCAATTTACCCTCTAATAAAACATTTTATCCTATTTGTATTACAGTGATACCTTGGTTTACAACCATAATCCATTGCGGAGGTCCAGTTGTAAACCAAAACAGGTTGTAACCCAAGGCGTGCTTTCACCTATGGGGCCTCCAAAAAAATTGGTTGTAATCCAAAAAAAGGGACACACACTTCAGGGTTTGACGTGGTTGTAGTCCAAAACGGTTGCAAACCATGGTATTACTGTATTATCATTACTGTTATAATTCGCCTGCCTTTCATTATGAGGTCCCAATGAATTTCACATTTGACTATTTATTATGCTAAGAGAGGCATTTAGTGTTTTGGTTATGCCCATTCCCCTTGCATATTGCTGAATTACCACCAGTGTTGACACACACCTGTTATCCTCACCTGAGTCAAGCCTCGGTGCCATTCAATTCTGTCCTCATAAATGGTGAGCGCTTTGCCAGGAGGATCCAGCCTCCCTACTTGGACTCGGACATACGATTTATTTGGGAACGTGACCAAGTTTGTAATGTCAAATCCGGCTGCTAATTCTCCATGCTCATCCAGTGCAATTGCATCTCCAGCAGTGTTGTTGAATGAAATCTTGTGAAGGATTGAGTGGAGCTGGGTGGAAAGAGAACGAGGACCTGAAGGTCATTTTCCTATATGGTTACAAGTCATTACAATTCATCATGGATAATAATTTACTTGCAGAAGCAGCAAGGCAGTAACAAATCATGAAAGGGTATAAAATTCAACTGTGGCGGAGAAATAAGTCTGGAAAATCATGGTTATATGGGATCAGTATTTGGAAGAAGACTTAAGAAAACTGAGAAAATAGAAGCTTGATAGAAATATCCTGTACATCAGGAACCTGGTTGGTCACACCATGGATATTGGGTCCAGGAAATTGTCCAGAACCTATATAAGGACAGTTGACATTGGAGATGAGGAAACATTACCTGCCAGGGCTCCACATTCTGAGGAACCATTCTCTTGCTGAACTCCCTTGCACTGCGTTTCAGCCCAGCTGACTGCAAGTTATGTAAGGCATGGGCCAAAGCATAGGCGGCGTTATAAATGCTGTAGCTGTGGCCAGTCATGCTCATTTCAAAATAAGGGGCAGGAAGGCTCTCTAACATCTCCTCTCCAGTACATCTGCCGTAGATGAATGAGTTGGATAATGAACAACTGAATGCTTGCTCCCAGAAAACGTTGATAAATCCGTCTTCATTTGCCCAGGAAGGATTTACAAGCTGAAGAAACTTTTGGAAGTCTTCTATTTCCTTTGAATGAATTGTGAAGGAGATAGCACCATGGAACATGTGTCTGTCTAAATCAGTAATTGCCTGAATGGGGTATAATGTGAAATCTATTTGGGCTGTTGTAATCCACACTTTTGCTGTAGAGAGTCTCTTATTTCGCGGAATTAGTATTTGACTTATCTTGATTACCCCTATAACTGCTCCCAACCATGTAATAGAGCCACTTTCTCCATATATAACAACTACATTGGCGTTGCTCCTCATGAATACTGGCAAAGTATTTTGTTTGTGGTGGAGCATCTCCTGTATGCTGTCAGAGAAGAGCAGGTGCGTTTGAGCTCTTTCTGTGAATGCTGAACACATTCCATTCTGCAAAAGCATTTCCTCCATGGCCTGTAGGAATCGGTCTCCACCTTCATTATCTATAGCATAGAGCCCAACCCATTTCCACTTGAAGTGCAGAAGTAACTGAATAATTCCTCGGTATTGCAGGGCTTCACTGGGTACCATGCGGCAAAAGGAAGGGAACTTGCCTTGATTCTTCACTGCTGGCTCAAATGAGCCATATGAAATCTTTAAAAAATAAGAGTTGGAAGAGGAGATAATTATTTCCCCAGATTTCAAATTAGTGGAATTCTATACAGGCAGTGGAATTCTATACAGCAGTGGAACAGACTTCCACAAGAGGTGGTGGTCTCTCCTTCCTTGGAGGGTTTTAAGCAGAGGTTGGGTGGCCATCTGTCATGGATGCTTCAGCTGAGATTCCTGTTTTGCAGGGGGTTGGACTGGATGACCCTTGGGGTCCCTTCAAACTCTAAGATTATATGATTCTATGCCCAATTTCCTTCTGTTCGGACAGGTTCCTCCACCTTTTACTCACACTAAGAAAACTACACAACCCTCTTAATGTAGACACTCCTGACAGTTTTGGTTAACATACACTCTAAATGAGATGTATATTGAAACCCGTTCCTTTCATTCTGAGCTAACTTCTTGTAAGGAGAATATTCCTGTTGTTGTTGGGGCATCAGCTTATAGACACTATGAGCCATCCTCTTTGAAGTCATTTACAAGTGGTTTGACTACAATCTGCCTTCCAGTAGACTTCAAAGGAATGAGTGTATGTGGAGGAAAGGCAGAGAGAAGGGGGGTTTCTTCTGGCTTTGGGGTTCTAGGGTTCTTGAGATGGTGCTGCTGTAATTCCCCAAGGTGAACAGCTCCTCTCCTTCTATCACACCTCAAACAATTCTCCTCTCTACAAATGAAACACAAATCATTTTAAATCTACACACCTCTCATGCACATCCTTGGATAGTAATGAATGCAAATTTCAGTTCATTCTTCTTCCCATTACACCGTTCTAGCTTTACACTTCATCAAATTACTGCTGGAAAGAGTAGAAAAGTGAGTTATGGGGGAGGTGAGGGGAAAGCCTCTGAGCTCCAGTACTCAGATCCTACCTGTGGAATCTTGAAAAGACCCAAGATATCTGCCATGCAGGAAGAGGTATCAGAACTAAGTCCTCCAATTACTCCTATTACATTTTCCTGGGTGCCACATTTGTAGTTAGGGACAAACTGGTGTGATTTAAAGAGCAGGTCCAAAGTGGTGCGGTAGGTCCTCCTTGAATCAGTATAGCTGTCGTAGATGTGGAACCCGAGGGTGACATTGGGCAAGATCCTAGGGATTCTCATTGATCTCATCAACAGCAAACACCAGGGCAAGGATGTGCTGGTAGAACTTGGTCACCATGCTGCAGATAAAGGGACTTGCTGTTTCATGGTGGAATCAAGGCTTGTGCTTCAAAAGATTATCTCATAGCCACAACAACCTATATCTCCCCCCCCCCAAGGAGCTCAAAATCCCTTCTCCAGTTAATCCCTACAACAGCCCAGGGATGTAGATTAGGCTGAGAGGCAGGCACTGGCCCAAGGTCACCCAGTGGAGATTCAAACCTTGGTCTCCCATGTCCCAGTCAGACACTCGCCACTACACCACACTGGCTCTGGGTTGTTTTAGACTTGTGCTTTCACCACAATTTCTGTGCAATGAGCTAGCCTAGCTTGGATGCACTAAGTCCTTGCCAATGAGTGAAGAAAGAACTGAGGGCCTCACACACATTCCTATCACATCTCCCCTATTCAGGAAAGCCAGTTGTGGAGCCTGCAGCAGCTTCTCTCCTGCGGGGCTGAGACTTTCTGAGACTGTCTTCTTTCTTCTCCATGATATGTGATATTTTCGTTCCCCTTCCTGTACTTTGGGCAGGTATAGAAGAATAAGAAGGCTAAAAAGCATTTAACAGGGTAGGGACTGTCCTGAGATGTATTTAGTGGGTGAAGGAGACAGAAGGGATTGTGGCAGGAAAGGACAGTCCCCTTCTTCCTCCCTCCACTGACTTTTCCTTTCCTTCTCTCCCACTCCCACACATACCAGTCACTCATTCTGAAACCTCCCAGTCACTGCCCAATCCTATGCATGTTTACTCATACGTAAGTCCCACTATTTACAACATAGCTTATGCTCAGATAATGTATATAGAATTGCAGCTGTACTCTTGAGGGCTGGGAGTCATTCTCTTGCTATGTCTCTTCTATCAAATTTCATTTTGCTGCAGAGAATATTTAATAGATGGACTATTGGTTTGACTCAATTTAAGGCACTTTTCTATTATCCTCTTTCTTGAAACGTACATGAGATGTGGCCCTCAGACTCCAATTTGTCATCTCTCCAAAATTATGTGGACAAATATGTTTGAATGGGTGAAAATATTGGTGCAATGGAATGCTTCCTCACAGTCCCCTTCTAAAATGGGCAGACTGAGCACCTATGTACCAGAGCCAGAATAGAGAGCAAATAGATAATATAAGGCTAATATTTCCAAATGTCCAGTTACCAGTACAAGCACAGCCTAATTACACATATGTTGGAGAATGTCCTTTTCTCAACCTTTAATATTTCTTTTAAAAAGCAAATTAATAAAGCAATTATTCATGCAGATATACAGACCTTCTAAATTAAAAATGAAAACTTTTGCTTACACTGGGGACTTAATCAGAGAGTGTTGAGAAGGGTATTGGTTGAAGGAAGCTATGGAGAACACAGGATTTGACAGCTGAGACACTATCCCACTGATGAGGAAATCACCCAACTGGTGCCACTCATGTGGAACATCTTCGGGATTATTTCTGGTGCACTTAACAGCATGCACATAGCACACCATGTTCGGAAGCAGCAGGATCAGAAGCAGCAGCATCCCAATGCATGTGCAAAATCCTCTCTCTGTGTGTATAAAACAAGCCACTGCCCTGATGGTTTAGACTGCTGAAGACTCTGGGGATATAATTCTCACATGGATTTATTACCTTTGCCTAACCATTAAGCTCAGCAGTTTTTCAGAAGTGTGTCTTGAATTCTAATTGAAAACACAATATTCAGATTTGTCCTATACATGGGGATGGGTGGAGTAATTATCCAAATGACAGAGACCTGCCTCTCTCTTCCCCCTAATCTTAGCTGTCTGTGGAACATTGGGTTTCCTTATCATCATTTCAGTCTTTTTATCAATACCTTTTCATACTCGCTTCTAGAAGGCTACTGGCACTCTGGGCAGATTATAGACATTTTGATAATTGCAGAGTAGATAATGATTTCGGCAGTGTTTTTGGATGCTGTTATGCATCAACAGGAGCAAAACTCCTGCCAGAAAAATATTTGTCAGATCGTGGACTTTTACCTAAAAGATAATCTAGTCCAACTCTGCCACACGGTCCTGCAAAGCTGGCTATCCATCATCTGCTTAGAAACTTTTAATGAAGGGGGTTCTACTAGCATGCAAGACCACCTGTCCCCTTATGAAACAGCTCACACTATTAGAAAGAATTGCTCTCTACGGTCTCAGAACTTCACAATTCAGCAGATCTGCCTGATCCCTTCTAGCTGCACCAGCATGACAGACACGGGGGATTTAGGCTGAGCTACAGTGACTCCCAATATTGAATCTATTAGGAGGCAGAGCATGCTTGGGATAAAAATGCCAGTGCTACAATTCATCCCCCCGCCCTTAGCACAAAACATTAAAAATCAATATAAAAATAATAATTCTTAGTGATGAATACCCTATGTGAGAAAAATAATAATAAAATAATTCATTTTTAATCACTTATTTGCAAAAATTAATGCTTTCTCTGGGATGCGGGTGGCGCTGTGGGTAAAAAGCCTCAGTGCCTAGGGCTTGCTGATCGAAAGGTCGGCGGTTCGAATCCCCGCGGCGGGGTGCGCTCCCGTTGCTCGGTCCCAGCACCTGCCAACCTAGCAATTCAAAAGCACCCCCGGGTGCAAGTAGATAGATAGGGACCGCTTACTGGCGGGAAGGTAAACGGCGTTTTCGTGTGCTGCACTGGCTCGCCAGGTGCAGCTTTGTCACACTGGCCACGTGACCCGGAAGTGTCTCTGAACAGCGCTGGCCCCCGGCCTCTTGAGTGAGATTGGCGCACAACCATAGAGTCGGACACGACTGGCCCGTACGGGCAGGGGTACCTTTACCTTTACCTAATGCTTTCTCTGCTAATCCAATCCCCTGCATTCTGTGCCCCCTGCAATATTGAATGGACAACCGATGCTGTGCACTACTTCTTCGTGGGTTTGGGGAACAGGGAGACTATTCCAAGCTATGTCCAGATGTGGGGAGAATGGGCTTGTACTCAATGCTAGCCCTACTAGACCTGTTCTAGATGGTGAATATGATCAACATAGGTTCATTAACTTCAATGGAGCCACACCAAATCAAACAACTCATAGGGAATGCAGCTGCCCTTTAGATGCCACACATATTGGCGGGGTTTTCTGGGCTTCTGGATGTATATGGGAAACTCTCCACCAGCACTGTTTCACTAGGGCCATAAATGAAAATGAATAAAAAAGGGCAGAGAGGTCTCATCAGGGTTAGGAAGGGTGTTGCGTAAAGAAAAATCCCTCAGTATCTGAGTGTCATAATGGGCTCAATGAAAGTCAATAGGCTGAAGCCAAAAACTGAGAAGACAGAAGTAGCTGTGGTTTGCTTGTTCCTATGTCCAGGAATGAGATAGGCAGCCTGTTCTGGAAGAGATCTCACTCATTCTGAGGGGCTGGGTTTCTACTCCAGAGCCAGTGTGGTGTAGTGGTTAAGAGCGGTAGTCTCGTAATCTGGGGGACTGGGTTCGCATCTCCGCTCCTCCACATGCGGCTGCTGGGTGACCTTGGGCCAGTCACACTTCTGTGAAGTCTCTCAGCCCCACTCACCTCACAGAGTGTTTGTTGTGGGGGAGGAAGGGAAAGGAGATTGTGAGCCGCTTTGAGACTCCTGAAGGAGAGTGAAAGGCGGGATATCAAATCCAAACTCTTATTATTATTATTCTACTACGTGATTCAATCTTGTCTTGGCAAGTCTGCATTGGGCTGCATGGTGTAATAACTTACGGAATTTAGCTTCTGCTGAAGAAAATCAGCAGACACACACAGACATAAATTGCATGTTTCCAGGGGAATGGAGGACCCACCATGTTTCTATATCATCTGATGGGATTTTATTTCCTATGTTTCAGAATTTGATCAGTGTTCACCATCCATGTCAGCTTGGGGAATATGGATGTCGTGATTTATATTGGTGTGCCACCATTTCTTTTCCCTGTTATTTATTGTTTGTTTGCTTTGTGTACAGTGCAATATAATTTTGCACTTTTGGATTGTTTATCATGTCAATAAAGAAAGAAGAGAATAGAGCGGGTGGGAAGCCCTGGGAGAGTTATGTGGGTGGGGGGCAGAAACCAAAGGAGACAGCTAGGCAGCCCCTCCACCTGAGGCAATTCCCTAAGCCTGCCTAATGGAAGAGCCAGGCCTCAGCAGAAAAGTATCAAAAACCAAAAGTAGCTGTTTCATAAGGCCAGAACATAACACAAAAATCTTTAATATAATTTGATTCCTTTACATCCTCCTGCCTTGATTTATACTTCTTTCATAAACCTAGGTAGAATAACAACAACATAGAGGAAACAACAAATATCAATCTTATGAAGTACTTTTGCTGTTCAACTCAGGTATTGCAACAATCTGGTAGGATTTGGAGGTGAAAGAACCATTTTTGCCATAATATCATTATTCTCTGCTATCATTGAATTAAGTAGCTTTGTTTTTTAAAAAATGAAAACAGAATTTCTTCCGCTACTTATAGTTTTCTTTGTAGTAGCTCCTCTATGTTGTTCAACCCAGGTCTCACCAAATGTAGCATTTTGGGGAAAAGAATAATCCAGCACTGGAAGCCAAGATGGACAGCTGCCATGTATTTTCCTCATGTGCTCAGGTATGTAGGAACGGAGGATAGCCAAAAACCACAAAAGACCAGCATGGTCAAGTTGATGGACCTGCCTCCATTAAAAGCGGGATCTTAGTGGCAGCTTCCTGCACCTATTTCCATTAATATGTTCTGAAGAGGAACATTCCATAAAATATTTATTTACATATTCATTATTTTTTGAAAGTAGCTTACAAAGATTCTCAGAGTAAGAACCTCAATCATGCCTGGTATCAGGAAATCAAGTAACGAGAGACCCAGATGGTACCAGCAGTAATTTGATGGCCTTTCATGCACTCATCTCTGGCCTTGTTTAGTGTCCTTGTTGAGGACCTAGCAATGGCATCTGAGGCAAGGTGAATAACTGGATCTCAGTTTATGATGGAAGAGCTGGTTTGCCCTAAAGAAAAAGTGTGTGCTGAACAGCTCATGATGGATGTAATTCTTTCTTTGGTAGGCAGCAGGCAGGTTGTTATCAAAACTATAACATTAGTCAACATTTAATAAAATAAGCAAAACAAGCATATACATTTTGGGATGAAAATTCCAGCCTACTAATCCATTTTAGATTTTCTAGGGAAATATAACCAAATGTTAAATTTTTACTTTCTTTTTAGCTGCTCCTTATTGTTCAGTTCAGGTCTCAAGATAATTATATAACATTTAGGGGAAAGATACAGCTCAGTATCCCAGCACTGGAGGCCAAGATGGAGAAGATCTCCACAGCCACCAGGTTTTTCCCTTTGGTGCTTAGATAGGTTGGAACAAAAGACACCCAAACACTGCAAAACACCAACATGCTGAAAGTGATGAATTTGGCTTCGTTGAAAACGTCCGGCAGCTTCCGAGCAAAGAAAGCCACAATGAAGCTGACAAGAGCCAGCAGCCCCATGTAACCAAGAACGTAGTAGAACATGTTGGCTGATCCTTCATTGCATTCCATGATGATTTGGTCCGGCAGAGAGTGCATGTCCAGATCTGGGAAAGGAGGGTTGCTACATAGCCAGACTATACAAACACTTGCTTGGATAAAGGAGCAGCCAAGAACGATAGAGATGGACAATCTTTTCCCCACCCATTTCCTCATCTTGGATCCTGGCTTGGTGGCCATGAAAGCCAGAACCACAGTGAGGGTTTTGGCCAAGACCGAAGAAACGGCTACTGAGAAGATGATCCCGAAAGTAGTTTGTCTTAGAGTGCAGGTCCATGTCTGAGGCTGGCCAATGAAAAGCAAAGAGCAGAGGAAGCAGAGCAGGAGGGAGACGAGCAGCGTGTAGGTGAGATTCCGGTTGTTGGCTTTGACAATGGGAGTGTTCCGGTTTTTGATGATGATTCCAAGCACCAAGGCTGTGGTTGCAGAAAGAGCCAGAGCCAAAAGAGCCAAGCCGATGCCAAAAGCTTCTCCATAAGACAGGAAGTTTTCTCTTTTGGGAAGGCATTGGGTTTTCTCTTTGTTAGGATACTGATCTTCTTGGCAGAGTAAGCAATCACTGATATCTTGAAGGGGGAATAAATAAATCAGGCTTCCAGATACAGAGTTTTGGGTCTTGCTAAGGTACAATTATTTATGGTAAAGGATCAGGAAACCTTGAATGCTGTTGTACTACATTTCAATGCAATTTACAGTATACGAAATACAAAACATTATCTTTTCCAGGAAACTTTTAGACTATTAACCTGTTTTGTCTTTAGCGTAAGGTAAGTTATTTTTTGAGTACTTAGGTTTCTTTCCAGTGGTTAATTAAATCAGACTTAACATCCAGTAGCTAAAGTCTGATACACACTGTTGAGATGATAAGCTCCATAAACCTCAAAAGGTTTATCTGTATTTACACATGCATATGATTAAAGTTTTGGTGTGTCTCTCGCATACTTTTTGCTGTGTTTGCAGCACTCATGTGACCACTCTGGGTGCAAGCCTGGGCAGTGTGTAGGGGGTTTTGGGCTGCCCAGACAGGTAAGCCCTTTCAAGGAATCTGGATGGAGAAATATTATTTACCAAAACTATGTTTCACAGTAGAAAGGGACCTAAGAAAGGAAGTTTCCTTGAACAATATAGAAAGCATTTCCTAGAAAGCAAAGCAAAAGGTTGCCCAGAAAGACAGCTTAACATCAACAGAAGACAGTGGCGTAGCGTGGGGGGTGCAGGGGGGGGCCGGCCACACCGGGCGCAACATCTGGGGGGGCACCCTCGCTGCCTCCGGAGTTGCCGAAGAGCCTCGGGCGCAGGCTGTAGCAGAGCCCCATATCTCGCGGAACCGACGAGCTGGCAGCGGCTCTCAGAGCTCGCCGTGGTCCCCGCGCGTCAGGGCCGCAGAGGGCGCGCCAGGCAGCCCCTCCTCACAGCCCCCCAGCCGCTGCTGCTGCTGCAGCTGCTGGGCCATGTTGCATTTTCCTCGCCTCTCTGCCCTCCTCCTCCTCCGGACAAGCGGCGTCGTTTGGGCAGCAGCGCCAGCGGCAACTCGTCTCAGATCACCTGACACGGACCCGCCGCCGCCGTGGTTACCTTACCGTAAATACCCCAGCCCAGGCAGCAGCAAGAAGAAGCTGGCAGCGGCGGCAGGTTAGGGGTTAGGGGCGCAAATTACTTGCCTTGCCCCGGGTTAGGGGGCGCAAATTACTTGCCTTGCCCCGGGTGCTGACAACCCACGCTACGCTGCTGACAGAAGACTTATACTGTTGATATAATCTAGTCCACACACCTGTATGGTTATAAAAAGCACAGTACTCTTGAATTGACAGTGCTAAAACTTTGGTGATTAAGTAAGCTGTGGTAGCAATCCCTGAAGTTTATGGGCATGGAGGTAAGCAGAATAGATGTTTATTAGCTGTTCATAAATCAGGGTCTTTGTCAGCTCCTTCTTGCACAGCAACCACAACAGACCATTATGCTTTCTGAGATGTACATATCTCCCTGTTGACATAGCCAACTCCATCACAGATATTCAGAACAGGTTGTTTCCTACCCTGTCTGGTTTGAAATCTTCCCTTCTGGACACGGAGCACAATCATAGCAACAAAATGGTTCCCCTTCTTTCCTTTGTCTGCTGTAACCTGGATGGCAGGGGTCATTGCACAAGGCCAGGGGAACCACCTAACCAAGAAAAAGAAGGCATTGCATATATTCTGCTGTGCTCTCAGTTGTTCTTTGACTTTTTATCAACAGGGGGTTCTACTGAAATAAGGCATAAGGCGTTTGTTTCAGATGCAAGTTAGTGGTGCCAATCACCAAGATCTGTGCATATTAAAGCCAAGAAACAAATGTCCTGAACTTCTGCTAAACGTAAAGGTAAAGGGACCCCTGACCGTTAGGTCCAGTCGCAGATGACTCTGGGGTTGCAGCACTCATCTCGCTTTATTGGCTGAGGGAGCCGGCGTACAGCTTCTGGGTCATGTGGCCAGCATGACTAAGCCGCTTCTGGCGAACCAGAGCAGCGCACGGAAACACCGTTTACCTTCCCGCCGGAGCGTTACCTATTTATCTACTTGCACTTTGATGTGCTTTCAAACTGCTAGGTTGGCAGGAGCAGGGACCGAGCAATGGGAGCTCATCCCATCATGGGGATTCGAACCGCCAGCCTTTTGATCGGCAAGTCATAGGCTCTGTGGTTTAACCCACAGCGCCACCTGTGTCCCTGAACTTCTGCTAGTGAGTGGATAAATGAAAGAAGGTGCGCAAGCCCATGGATCCCTTGATATATGTTTCCCTTGATATATGTTTCCCTTGATATATGTTTCCTTTAGAATATTTTTGTCAAGATGTGAAACTGCAGGGTGTTGAATCCTGGGAACCAGAATCACTACAGTGACACGTTCACAAACTCATCTAACAGGTTGTAAATGATTATAAAACAAATCTGACAAATATTTCCCAATGGACAATAGAAGTTGCAATTGGGTGCTACCTGGTTAAAACTTTGGTGCCATGTAATGATCTTCTCATTAATGCAGAAATCTTTGCCCAGTGGAGCTTGGGGATCCATTTCCCCAACTTTCACTCTTAAGAAGGACTTATTGGGGAAAGTCACCCAGTTGATGATATCAAATCCACCTTCTAGCTCATGGTTCTCATTAAAAAACACAGAGTCCCCAGCGCTGTTGTTAAAGAAGATATTCTTCAGGAAAGGTTGAAGCTACAGAGGAACAGGAGATTAGGTGGGAACAGAGAACACACAACAAAGATTCTGTTTTCTCATGCTGGGATAAACTCACAGTATTTCTTGAAACTTCTCTGGCTAGTGAAGGGAAATTCCTTAGCCATGTGGTTTTTACTTGTTTCTCAAGGAGAACACCAGTAATGGCAAGTTGTTGCCACCATAACCCCATTTTCTTTCCTTCCTGGGACTTTGGAAAGGGAACAGCAGAGACACCTTCACAAAGCTACTGTCTTGATGAATCTACCAAAGAAGACAGCACGACCACCAGCTTCAAAAATTACTATAAAAAAGTTTATGAAGTTTAAACCGACACTCTCACATTCCCACAGACAGACATACACTTCCATTTATCTCATAACTTCATGTATGAGAGACTGAGAAAGTGCTGCCACAGGCTGAAGGAGATCATAGAACACAAAAAGACCGTAAACAGGATGCATATATTTGGGAGAAGAAAAGGCCAAGGAGTAAACCCTACACAAATCCAGGGTAGAGTCAATAAGATGGTTGGGTGGCACCTTGAATGCTGTCACCATCTGCAGTGATCATGGAGCCCAAGAAAGTAAAATCTCTCACTGCCTCCATTTCTTCCCCTTCTATTTGCCAGGAGGTGATGGGCCCAGTGGCCATGATCTTCGTTTTTTTGATATTGAGCTTCAGACCATATTTTGCGCTCTCCTCTTTCACCCTCATTAAAAGGTTCTTTAATTCCTCTTCACTTTTAACACATTTAACTAAATAATCATTAAATTTATTCCATTCCTCGTGGTATTCCTCCTCCTTCTGGTCTCGGACTCTTCCGGTTAGGTGGGCTAGCTCCAAAAAGTCCATCATCTTCATCTGCCATTCTTCTACTGTTGGTATTTCTTGGGTTTTCCACTTTTTAGCTAACAAAATACGAGCCACAGTTGTGGCATACAAAAATAGTTTAACATCTTTCTTGGGCATTTCCAAACCTGTTATTCCAAGAAGAAAGGCTTCTGGTTTCTTTATAAATGTATATTTCAACATTTTTTTCAATTCATTATAAATCTTTTCCCAGAAGTCTTTCACCTTGGGACAGGTCCACCACATATGAAAGAATGTTCCTTCCTTCTCTTTACATTTCCAACAGATATTATCACAATTGTGATACATCTTTGCTAATTTTACAGGAGTCAAATACCATCTATACATCATCTTCATAATATTTTCCTTTAACAAAGTACATGCAGTGAACTTGACCCCTTTCTTCCACAATCTTTCCCAGTCTTCAAACATTATATTATGTCCTAAATCTCTTGCCCAATCTATCATCACAGATTTAACTTGTTCATCTTTCGTATGCCACTCCAGCAAAAGCTTGTACATTTTAGATAATTTTTTACCTTCAGTATCCAACAACTCCGTCTCCGACTTAGATTTTTCCAAGGCAAAACCATTCTCTTATCCAATTTATACAATTCATTAATCTGGTGGTAATGTAGCCAATTTAGCTTATCTTTAATTTGCTCAAATGGTTTTAATTTATAACCTTCCTCCTCTATTAATAAATCATAATATCTCAACCATTTGGTATCCATATTTAATTTTTTCTGGGCCTTTGCCTCCATTGGTGAAAGCCATCCGGGCATCTTTCTTTCTAAAAGGTCTTTGTATTTTATCCAAACATTATACAATGATTTCCTAATTATATGCCTTTTAAATGATTTATGGGCTTTTACCTTATCATATCACCTTATCATATGCATGCCAACCAAACACATTATCGAATCCCTCCAAGTCTAATTTTATCCAGTCTTTAATCCAACAAAGTGCAGCAGCTTCAAAATAAATTTTTAAATCTGGCAGAGAGAATCCCCCTCTTTCTTTGGAATCCGTTAGTAATTTATATTTAATTCTGGGTTTTCTCCCCTGGCAGTCAGGTCCAGATAAAATAGTGTCTTGAATAGCAATAGCTCTCTCACAAATACCTAGGACAGCCAGCCCCAGTTAGGGAGCACAATACTGTATTAGGGCACAATGCTGAGAATCCTCTTTCCTGCTCCCAAACTCAACTCCCAAGAGCCATCCAGTCTAACCACCTGTGGTTAATACTAATGCTAATACTGTAAAGTCTCATTCATATTGTTGTAATGCTGGTCTTGATAATTCTAGCGCAATGCACATAACGCTGCCATGTACATAAACCAAACGTTTCTTTTTCAGACATGGACGACTGCTTTCCATGTCCACAAGATCATTATCCAAACCTAGAACAGGATTCGTGCATTCCAAAATGCATCAGTTTCTTGTCTTATACAGAGCCTTTGGGGATCAGTCTGGCCACTTCGGCTCTTTCGTTTTCCTTCATCACATCTTTGGTGCTTTGCACCTTCATTAAGCACTGGGACACACCCATAGTCAAAGCCAACAATTAATGCTCTCGTTGCGTGATTCAGCAGGATGGTGGATCTATCAGTATGCTCAGTAGATGCACATCTTGATCATTCTCCAGACTGCAAATCTAGTGAATTGACTACGTGTTACTGGTGCCTGCTACTATGGGTTGTATCCAACATTAGTCATACTCAGAGTAGACCCATTGAATTCATGGACCTAAATTAGTTATTCCATTAATGTAAATGGGTCTGCTCTAAACATAACTAACTTTGACTACAACCCTGTGCGTTTCTTACTAATATGTTCAACTCTTATCTAACCCTACTGCTTACTCAATGGCCACTGAAGTTTTCACCTGGATTTCCAAAACTATTTCTTTCTTTAAAAACCTTCTAAATATGAGACCTTTTATGTAGACTTTGCAAACAAGTCATTTGTGGTTGATTAGTCTTATTCCAGGCTCACTTGTTTTCTGGGGGGCTTTTCAGTTGCTCTTGGTTATTACAAGCTGAAGCCTCTCTTGCTGTCCACGTGATGAAGACCACAGAAGACCTGCCGAGATCAGATAAACATGTTGTCCGCATCGTCTCACAGAATCTGTGATTCTAAATAGGCAATTATTGTTCTTCCTAACTATCAAATTAAACATGATGACTCCTACTTTTCCACAAAGTCCCAAGGGCTTCAGTACTAATCACCAGCAAAACCATGCACAGAAGGAGGTATGTTATTAATAAACCTTGTATCATTCCATGCTGGGGCTAGAGACAGTCAGGGCTCTTGTCAGTTTGATCATTGATACTTTATATTGTGCAGTTTGAGCTGTGCATCGACCAACTGTGTCTCCATTCAAGCCATGCTTGAAGATAGTGAGTATGAATGGGTGTGGAGAAGAATTTTTTTCTTGCAAGTTAGTGGCATCTGTAGTATTAGTACTAGTGTTTTTGCCTCAGGTAGTGTGCAAGATTCCAGATGTCAAATGTGGCACCAGTGACCCTCTTCCTATTCTTCATAAGTTCCACCATCCAGGAGATCTCACCATTGCTGGCATCGTGTCTATGATGTACATATTTTCCACTCCAATAACGTTCATAGAATGTCCCTCAATGGACCTCTTTGATGGAACTTTGTAAGATTTTTCAAACTTTCCATTATACGGAATCACCAACGTGGCACCTGTGGGGTATGCATGCACCCCCAGAGATCTTCCCTGGTGTCCACAGGGTTCCCCCCTTGCTCCACTGAAATTAATCTTGAAAGACGTCTTGCATTATAACTGATAGCATAGGTTGCCCTGTGTGTTTGGTATGTGTTTCAAGTTTGCAAATGGGACTATGACTCTCCAAAGCTTGGTTTGCCTGATATATTAAATAGCCTGTCCTATGAATCCCATGGAGTTTTGTGGGCCTTCCATGAGTATCTGGTTGGCCACTATGTGACTGAGCTCTGGAAAAGATGGATCTTAGGTTAGAACCCCTACAAACTGGGATTACCATCAAAGGAGTGATTCAACTAATGGTGTTGCAGGGACCTCCGGTGGTGATCTTACCTTCCACTTGCCTCTGATTGTCTTGGACACAAAATATTGAAATAATTTGCATTCAACACATTAAAATTTGCCTTAAAAATAGTTTGCTATCCAACAACCAGCTTCTACAGATTATAAATTGCCACAGTCCAAAATGATCATTGATATTTGGAAGCACAAATATTTAAAAAGGGTGGATGCTACCCTTACTAGTAAACTAGCTAAATTCTTGAGTCATAAAACTCAATTTCTTTTCTAAGAACATTAGCCCATGTTCTCTCATGATGTTTAACCCCTCCCCCAATAAAAATAAGGACATGAATTCCTAATTAATCTCCCCAGAACTTCCTCTATTCTGGGGAAACTCGGCTAAATTTTGTATTTTGATTGTAATGGCAACCTCCAACCCTAAGATCACAGAAAATATATATACAGATGTAGAAATAGAACTTCTAAATGGTTTACAAGGAAATAAGATAGAGCAAAGTTTACTAGGCCACTGTTCTTAAATGGAAGGTGAGGTATGCATGGATAAAAATGGTCCATTTTTAACTATTTCTGATTGTTCAGGGATTCTGCTCACTCTCATTTTATAAGGTGCAATTGGTGTGCATGTATGCGTTTTTAGAAATGAGACAATGTCAAATTCTGGATTTGCCAGTGCCATTCTGAAAACCAACGCTAAGAAATTCAAATCTCCCAAATATGTGAAAAAAACTTCCTATGAGAAATTTGCACCCTAGTACTTACCAACTTCTCTCAAAATAGTATTGGGTGACTGAGCCCATGTGACAAAAGGTCAACTGCATGAAAATGTTTCTTCATTCTTGGGATGGAAACAATTTGTGAATCCTCCAATTCTGAAGGAAACACACTGTGACACAACATAAAACTCTCGTTTCAGGTTCATGATACAGATCTACCAGCATGTCCTGGCACTGATATTTGCTGTAGAGGAGATCAATGAAAATCCCAAGATTTTGCCTAATCTCACCCTGGGCTTCCATATCTACAATAGCTATTTCAATCCGAGATGGACCTATCAGGCCGCACTGGAGGTCTTCTCCACCCAGGGCAGATTCATCCCTAACTACAAATGTGATAATGTCAACAGTCCAGTAGCTGTAATTGGAGGGCCCACCTCTGTAGTGTGCCTCCACATGGTGGACACCCTGTGCATCTACAAGATTCCACAGGTAATACCTGTGTGTGGAGCTGAAGAGTTTATGAGAGCATCAGCCACATCCCTTGGTTTCAGATACTGATATGTACATTGAAGATAGGATAGGAATGATTCCAAAATACCATATTTAACAGTGGAGGATTTGACAGGTTGTCCCTTTAAATGTATTAAGGCGTGAGCCTTTATTGAGAGAATACAGTGGTTGGGGGCATTTGGGGGGTTGTTGAAGAAGAAGAAGAGTTTGGATTTGATATCCCGCTTTATCACCCCCCTTCAGGAGTCTCAAAGCGGCTAACAATCTCCTTTCCCTTCCTCCCCCACAACAAACACTCTGTGAGGTGAGTGGGGCTGAGAGACTTCAGAGAAGTGTGACTAGCCCAAGGTCACCCAGCAGCTGCAGGTGGAGGAGCGGAGACGTGAACCCGGTTCACCAGATTACGAGTCCACCACTCTTAACCACTACACCACACTGGCTCTCATAGGAATTGATAGATAGGAATTGATTCCAAATTCCAAATAGATATTCCAAATAGATAGGAATTGATATTCCAAATAGATAGGAAAATATTGCGCTAGCATACCAGTATCTAGTCTTTTCTGCAAGATCTGCCATTAGATCCCAAGGTACTTTCTGTCCACCTCGCTATAAGACCTGCTATAGGATTAGCCAATGTGGTGTCTTCCACTTATGAAAAACATGTAGGTTATGGGTGATAGCCAATTAAGTCAGACAAAGGCTCACCTCTGTGTATTACTTATGCTATATGTCAGAAACATTTAACATACCATCGGCAACTAATCAAAGGCAGCTCCAAAAAAGATACCTTTAACATGATCTGGTCTCCCTTTTTCTCTTTTATTGAAGAAGAACAGGATATTTTAAAGCCACCATCATCACAGAGGTTTCTGTGGAGGGGATATATTCCTTGGAATTGAATGGTATTGTAACTGTATTGTAACTTTTGAATAATTTGTTTTTTAAAGAAAGAAAGAAACATTTACGGTAAGTTAACTAAGATAAGTTATTTTTAAATTCAGAAGGCCGTGTTTCCTTAAAACGAACACATTCATTAGATCAGGGTCAGCCAAAATGTTTACCCTCTAAAAATTGTGGACTACAATTCTCACAGTCTCTGACCATTGGCCATGTTGGTTAGGGCTTAAGGGAACTGGAGTCCAAAACACCTCCTGAGCAGCAAGGCATCTACTCCTGAATTACACTGATATCATGTGAGATATGCCAGTGAAACTGACTGAATACTCCACTGTGCTGTTCCATGAGGGCATCTATTTTGTCCTCCATTCTGGAGAAGCTGCCATATATGTTTCCTCTGGTGCAATTGTGTTTTCTATATCATTTTCCTAACCTTAATTTCCCCCCATATTATTTAGTTCATCTATGGCGTTGCTCCAGTGATAAATAAGAAAAGTCAGACTGTCCTCTACCACCAGATGTTTCCAGATGTGGATCATCAATATAAAGGGATTCTTCAGTTACTGCTTCATTTCAGGTGGACGTGGATTGGGGTGGTATCTGCACATGATGACAACGGAGAGAAATTCATACATACAGTGGTTCCCATGTTTGCTCAGAGAGACATCTGCTTTGATTTCATGATATCAATGCCTCAATTTACTCACTCTAGTGACTTTGATAAGAAAATTGATGAGTTGATTAAAACATGCAATGTTATCAGGAATAGCACTGTTAATGCAATGATCGTTCATGGTGAAATTGATACCATGTTAAGTCTGAGAATGCTGCCTGTCTACACTGGCTGGGGGAGATCAACAAATGACAAAGGTAAAATCTGGATTATGACATCCCAGATGGGTTTCACATCAGTTTCCTTTCAAAGAAATTGGGACATAGATTTCCTTCATGGTGCTATCTCCGTTGCAGTTCACTCAAAGGAGGTAATAGGATTCCAGAAATTTCTTCAGATGATAAAACCTTCTTCAGAAAACAAATATGCCTTTATCAGAGAGTTTTGGGGAGACGCATTTGAATGTTCTTTCCTCAATCCCATGATAGACAAAGACAATGGGAAAATCTGCACTGGAAGGGAGAAACTGGAGACTCTGCCTGCCTCTGTTTTTGAAATGAGCATGACAGGCCACAGCTACAGTGTTTACACTGCTGTCTTTGCTGTGGCACATGCATTGCATGCCATGCATTCATCAAGGTTCACGCACAGAGCAATGGTGGATGAAGGAAGAATGAAGATTCTGAGTCAACAGCTGTGGAAGGTAATGTTCTGAGCACACTAAGAATGTAGGAATGTAAGAGCATAGAATCATAGAATTATAGAGTTGGTAGAGACCTGAAGAGTCACGTAGTCCAACCCCCTTCAATGCAGGATTCTCAGTTAAGGCATCCATGAGAGATGCCCATCCAACCTCTGCTTAAAAATCTCCAAGGAAGGAGAGTCCACAACTTCCCAAGGGAGACCATTCCACAACCGAACAGCCCTTGCTGTCAGAAAGTTCTTCCTGATGTTTAGTCGGAATCTCCTTTCATGTAACTTGAAGTCATTGGTTCAAGTCCTACCCTCCAGAAAAGGAGAAAACAACCTTGCTCCATTTCCCATTAGACAGCCCTTAAGATACTTGAAGATGGCTATCAGTCTTCTCTTTTCCAAGCTAAACATCCCCAACTCTCTCAGTCTGGGGCGACTCCCTCAATCTGGCAGGAGAAAACAAGCTTCCTGCATATTCCATATGACAGTCCTTCAAATATTTGAAGATGGCTATCATATCTGCTCCCAGTCTCTTTTCCAGGCTAGACATGTCTAGCTCCTTCAACCGTTCCTCATAAGAGTTGGTTTAGAGACCATGGATCAATCTGCTCCTGTCTCTTCCTTCTGTTGATGGGTGGAGGGGAGGAATCATTCTATGCATGTCTAGTTGACATATTCCCCCCCCCTAAATCTTAATGTAAATTTGAATTTGGTTGGATCCAGATTTAGTCATTCTTAGGGCAAACTTTTCGTTAGATAGATTCATTGCAATCCCCATGATTTTCTCATGAATTGCTATTTCTTTCCTTGCCAATTTAGCTCAACCACTTTGTAAGAAGCATCTCATTTAATACTAGTGCTGGAGGAAAAGTATCTTTCAATGAAAATGGTGAGATAGAGGCTGGATTTGATATTATGAATTGGCTCACGTTTCCAAACCAGTCTTTCTGCAGAGTCAAAGTTGGAAGCATAGACCCCATGGCACCTCAAGAAGAAGTGCTCACTATTTCTGAGGAAGCCATTGTGTGGCCCAACAGGTTTAACCAGGTAAGTTCCATTCATGTATTGGGGGCTATTCATTAGTCCCATCTTCAGTTTTCAACAGTTCAGATACTGGCATAGCTCTGCTCATCTATAGCTTTAGTGTACACATGGGGACATGGGTGCAGAGGTCTTCTTTGCTGTGTCAGTTGGGTGATGTCACCCATCCAAACCCTTCTTTTCATCAAATAAAATATTCTCCTTGGAAAACTTTAATATTTAAAGAATTTGTAGGCATTTGTCCTGAAAGGTTGTAATCAAGAATTAAACTACAAGGAATACATTGAACATACTTCTAAACATCACCGTGAAATGTAGAAGTACAAACACAAAAAATGAATAAAAATAGGCTTAAAATTATAAGGAAACTATAACCAAGCAAAAACAACCAATTTCATCGGAGGGACAGGAAATTATAGTAACCCGCATTTCAATGTGTTCCAAAATATGAGATGGTGCATAAAGTTCCCATTTTTTATCCTATGGACAAGTGTTACCAGTAGTAGAAAAGGTTCTCTGAAGCCTCTGCATTCTAAATTCCAGATGTATTGCTATTTTGGAAACCTAACATAAACTCAACGCATCTCCACATGGATACCAGTATAACGAGATGAGATATAAATGTTGGAGTTCAATAATGTTTACACATTTAATAAAGAGTCAAAGGTGTTGGCATTGAAGATCTGATTTTATTAAACTGCCTCAACCTCACCTCCAAAGTGAGTGTTAACCACCTGGCATGAGGCAATAGATACACGGCCCCCATCATACCCCATAGGAATAACCCAACCACACTCTGAGCCCTATAAGAGTTGTTCCTCATGACCCTCACATTGAAATATGTGCTTAGAGAAGACGGGCCAAATCTCCAACCCCAAAGATGGTTCGCCTTTCATGGGATAGGGGGTAACACTGCAGAATTTCACCATCTAGTAAACATCCTCCTCTTTCATCTGTGGACAGGCACAGCCTCTTTCTCTTTGTAATGACAATTGCCCCTTGGGTTATCGTAAGGCAAAGAAGGAAGGGATGCCATTTTGCTGCTATGATTGCCTTCCATGTCCAGAAGGGAAGATTTCCAACCAAACAGGTAAGGAAGTCATGTGCAGAGTCTACGGACACTAATGGGGTCACTAACCATCAATTGGAAAGGTTATGTAGAATGTAAGGATGGTTAGAATCAAGGAGTTAGAAAGGCCATCCAGTCTAACCACCTGTGGTCAATAATAATAATAATAATAATAATAATAATAATAATAATAATGTTTGTTTCTTTGTTTCTACCCCAGCCACTCTGGGCAGCTCCCAATAGAATATTAATAACAAGATAAAACATCAAACATTAAAACCTTCCCTAACAAGGTTGCCTTCAGGTGTCTTCTAAAAGTCAGATAGTCATTTATTTCCTTGACATCTGAGGGAAGGGCATTCCACAGGGCGGGCCCCACTATCGAGAAGGCCCTCTGCATGGTTAATGATATGGGAGCAGCATCTTACATAAATATTATTAGGAATCACTTGTCATTATGTAGATAAAAATAGGAATCACAGCACCACATGTGTCAATCATTATGTGGGGAGGGGGAGGGGACATGAACGACACACAAAATGGAGGTAGAAGGGTCTGCTTTGGGAATGCTACATTTTTCAGAACTTCAATATCCCTTTAAAAATACCTGCACAGCCAACCTCCCAGAAAAGACCAATAAGGACAGAATATGCTAAGTGCTGTTGAAATACAAACTGACATGTTGGGAGAAGTGGAATGAAAACAGGATAAGAGAGGGAGTGGAAGGGTATTCTGTACTTCCAGGAGGTGTTTTTCCTCCCCAAGAAAGAGAGAGATTATAACAGAAATGGAATGAAGAGAATGACAGCTGAAAGAATATAAGCTAAAACAGAAAGGAAAATAGAAATATTCTGCATACTTCTAACTGATAATATCTTTGAAGAGAAGCCACCCTCAGTCATAGGACTTAGCTTCTAAAGTGGAGGTGGGCATAAAGACCCAGGTGGCCCATGGAACATCCCATAGTTTGGCATCTTACAAATTGCATGAGGAGACCACTCAGTTCTTTGCCAGATTTGAACCTGTAAAGTCTCATTCATATTGTTGTAATGCTGTCTTGATAATTTTAGTGCAATGCACATAACACTGTCATGTACAGAAACCAAAATTTTCTTTTTCAGACATGGACGACTGCTTTCCATGTCCACAAGATCATTATCCAAACCTAGAACAGGATTCGTGCATTCCAAAATGCATCAGTTTCTTGTCTTATACAGAGCCTTTGGGGATCAGTCTGGCCACTTTGGCTCTTTCGTTTTCCTTCATCACAGCTTTGGTGCTTTGCATCTTCATTAAGCACCGGGACACTCCCATCGTCAAAGCCAATAACCGGAGCCTCACCTTCTCCCTCCTCCTTTCCATCTCCCTCTCCTTCCTTTGCTCACTGTTCTTCATCGGCCAGCCTGACAAGGTGACCTGTCTCCTTCGACAAACTGCTTTTGGCATCATCTTTTCAGTGGCAGTTTCTTGCGTGCTGGCCAAGACAACCATCGTGGTTCTTGCTTTCATGGTCACCAAACCCACGAGGAAATGGGTGGGGAAAAGACAAACTCTCTCCATTGTTTGTTCCTGCTCTTTTATTCAAGCCACTCTTTGTGGTGTGTGGCTAACAACTTCTCCCCCATTCCCAGATTTAGACATGCACTCAATGACTAAAGAAATCCTTCTGGAATGTAATGATGGCTCAGTCACCATGTTCTACTGTGTCTTAGGCTACATGGGCGTACTAGCTATTGTCAGCTTCACTGTAGCTTTCTTAGCCAGGAAGTTGCCTGACAGTTTTAATGAAGCCAAATTCATCACCTTCAGCATGCTGGTCTTTTGTAGTGTTTGGCTGTCCTTCGTTCCCACCTATCTGAGCACAAAAGGGAAATACATGGTGGCTGTGGAGATCTTCTCCATCTTAGCTTCCAGTGCTGGATTACTGGGGTGTATATTCTTCCCAAAATGCTACATTATTGTGCTTAGGCCTGAACTGAACAGCAAGCAGCAGCTGAGAAGAATAAAGCATTGAGGCATCTAATATTCTGTGGCCCTCATCCCTTGGTCAGGAGGAAACACAGGGACTTCACATAGCTGCAAGAAACATGTTTGAGTGAATTTATTTGGGAGTCATCACATCACATTTTAACTGAAAAGGATAGCTGCATTGCTGTTACATGAGTTGTGGCCACATTGAAAATGTGTTGTGCTAAATAGATGAGTATTTAACAAGGACACCTCTGTGGCAAGAGAATAAAATTGAGGAAACTGCAGTGCTGAAAGATCTTCTGTCATTTTAATACAGTAATTATTTTCTCCCCCATATGTTTGCATTTGTTGAACTCTGCAATCAGGAATAAATGTATATATGCACACACACTGAAGTGTTTTCTCTCTCTCTGCTTCTGTGACACAAAGGAGAGGGGGGAATTTGATTTGGTTTACGTTGCAAGCCCAGTGCACCTAATTTGCACTTTGCTGAAGTCTCAGGTAGTGTCAGAGGCTAGAAGTGCCTTTCACCAGCTGTAATTGGTTCAACAACTTATAATGGCAATGACACCCACCTGAGAGGTGCTGGAACTGAGTTCCAGCTGGGGAAAAAAATCTGTGAGAATAAAACATGGGGAAGGTACACAGAACACATATGCTACCTGGAATTCCTGGGAGGAAAGTTGGGCTACCAAAGTAACAGGTATATACCGGTAAATCGGTCAGGTGCTTGGATGACTTTTTTCATATTCTAGTTAACTGCGTGACTGTGGACCTGGATAGCTCAGTTGGTTAGAGTGTGGCACTGATAATGCCAAGGTTGCAGGAATGACCCCCACATGGAACAGCTGCATATTCCTCTCTTGTAGTGGGTTGGATTAGATGATCCTCAGGGCCTCTTCCAACAGTTCTATGAGTCTATGGTTCACATTTTGATTTTGAAGTATTGTAGGTATAAAAAGTGAGTCAGGTGGTAGCTTTTAATGCCACATAAAAATACAGATCTTGTAAATCTATTTTATACTATTTCCCTCTCCTTAAGGTCTCATTTTTAAGGTGTTTTTCTTTTGCTCACTCTTTTGAAACCTATTCAAGTATTGGCTTCTGCATCTCTAGCTGTGAGAGTGAGCAGGACGTAACAGAACTGAGATGTGCTAGAGAACAAACCAGTCCATTTAACATCCATATCACAAGCAGTCTGGAGATTACAGCCACCGCACTGAAATTTGTGTGTGAGCTCCATTGCACATATGTATCTGTTGTCTCTATTGATTTTCATTTCTTCTCAGAAGTTGCTCATTCCCTCTACTTTTGATCACCTGCCAGTAGCCACAGCATAAAGATCAAGGTCTTCCTAAACCCAAAACTGGCTATCTCTGCTGACAGTTATGTTGCATCTACATGCTAATCTCTCGACAGCAGCACCATGAAGTTCAATATTAATGCTCTCATTGCGAGATTCAGCAGGATGGTGGATCTATCAGTATGCTCAGTAGATGCACATCTTGATCATTCTCCAGACTGCAAATCTAGTGAATTGACTACGTGTTACTGGTGCCTGCTACTATGGGTTGTATCCAACATTAGTCATACTCAGAGTAGACCCATTGAATTCATGGACCTAAATTAGTTATTCCATTAATGTAAATGGGTCTGCTCTAAGCATAACTAACTTTGACTACAACCCTGTGCGTTTCTTACTAATATGTTCAACTCTTATCTAACCCTACTGCTTACTCAATGGCCACTGAAGTTTTCACCTGGATTTCCAAAACTATTTCTTTCTTTAAAACCTTCTAAATATGAGACCTTTTATGTAGACTTTGCAAACAAGTCATTTGTGGTTGATTAGTCTTATCCCAGGCTCACTTGTTTTCTGGGGGGCTTTTCAGTTGCTCTTGGTTATTACAAGCTGAAGCCTCTCTTGCTGTCCACGTGATGAAGACCACAGAAAACCTGCCAAGATCAGATAAACATGTTGTCCGCATCGTCTCACAGAATCTGTGATTCTAAATAGGCAATTATTGTGCTTCCTAACTATCAAATTAAACATGATGACTTCTACTTTTCCACAAAGTCCCAAGGGCTTCAGTACTAATCACCAGCAAAACCATGCACAGAAGGAGGTATGTTATTAATAAACCTTGTATCATTCCATGCTGGGGCTAGAGACAGTCAGGGCTCTTGTCAGTTTGATCATTGATACTTTATATTGTGCAGTTTGAGCTGTGCATCGACCAACTGTGTCTCCATTCAAGCCATGCTTGAAGATAGTGAGTATGAATGGGTGTGGAGAAGAATTTTTTTCTTGCAAGTTAGTGGCATCTGTAGTATTAGTACTAGTGTTTTTGCCTCAGGTAGTGTGCAAGATTCCAGATGTCAAATGTGGCACCAGTGACCCTCTTCCTATTCTTCATAAGTTCCACCATCCAGGAGATCTCACCATTGCTGGCATCGTGTCTATGATGTACATGTTTTCCAAACCAATAACGTTCATAGAATGTCCCTCAATGGACCTCTTTGATGGAACTTTGTAAGATTTTTTAACTTTCCATTAAACGAATCACCAACGTGGCACCTGGGGGATATGCATGCACCCCCAGAGATCTTCCCTGGTGCCCACAGGGTCCCCCCCTTGCTCCACTGAAAGACGTCTTGCATTATAACTGATAGCATAGGTTGCACTATGTGTTTGGTATGTGTTTCAAGTTTGCAAATGGGACTATGGCTCTCCAAAGCTTGGTTTGCCTGATATATTAAATAGCCTGTCCTATGAATCCCATGGAGTTTTGTGGGTTTTCCATGAGTATCTGTTTGGCCACTATGTGACTGAGCTCTGGAAAAGATGGATCTTAGGTTAGAACCCTTACAAACTGGGATTACCATAGAAGGAGTGATTCAACTAATGGTGTTGCAGGGACCTCCGGTGGTGATCTTACCTTCCACTTGCCTCTGATTGTCTTGGACACAAAATATTGAAATAATTTGCATTCAACACATTAAAATTTGCCTTAAAAATAGTTTGCTATCCAACAACCAGCTTCTACAGATTATAAATAGCCACAGTCCAAAATGATCATTGATATTTGGAAGCACAAATATTTAAAAAGGGTGGATGCTACCCTTACTAGTAAACTAGCTAAATTCTTGAGTCATAAAACTCAATTTCTTTTCTAAGAACATTAGCCCATGTTCTCTCATGATGTTTAACCCCTCCCCCAATAAAAATAAGGACATGAATTCCTAATTAATCTCCCCAGAACTTCCTCTATTCTTGGGAAGCTCAACTAAATTTTGTATTTTGATTTTAATGGCACCCCTCATCCTAACATCACAGAAGAATTATATATAGAGAATAGACCCTCTAAGTGGTTTACAAAGAAATAAGATAGAACAAAGTTCATTACTGTACTATTCATTACTATTTTTGATTGTTCAGGGATTCTGCTCACTCTCATTTTATAAGGTGCAATTGGTGTGCATGTATACGTTTTTAGAAATGAGACAATGTCAAATCCTGGATGCCATTCTGAAAACCAACACTAAGAAATTCAAATCTCCCAAATATGCGAAAAAACTTCCAATGAGAAATTTGCATCCTAGTACTTACCAACTTCTCTCAAAATAGTATTGGGTGACTGAGCCCATATGACAAAAGGCAAACTCTGCATGACAACATTTCTTCATCCTTGGGATGGAAACAATTTGTGAATCCTCCAATCCTCTCATTTCAGGGTCATGCTACAGATCTACCAGCATGTCCTGGCACTGATATTTGCTGTAGAGGAGATCAATGAAAATCCCAAGATTTTGCCTAATCTCACCCTGGGCTTCCATATCTACAATAGTTATTTCAATCCAACATGGACCTATCAGGCCTCACTGGAGCTCTTCTCCACCCAGGGCAGATTCATCCCTAACTACAAATGTGATAATGTCAACAGTCCAGTAGCTGTAATTGGAGGGCCCACCTCTGTAGTGTGCCTCCACATGGTGGACACCCTGTGCATCTACAAAATCCCACAGGTATGGCGTACACCAGAGCATGGGAGTAATTTTCACTTCACTTGTGTTTTGGTGATTTGAAGATTTTTAGGCTGTTTCCAAGGTCAGTTTGTACATTCAGAACAGTTAAGTACTGAATATATCCTTGTCTTCAGAATACAGAGTACTTTAATGTGTTCAGCCATCTGTAGGGGTTGGCGTTAAATATTTCAGTGTAAAAGGGGAAAGGATCAGCCTGATGTTCTCACAGACATTGAGTCTGAAGAGGTCCACTCCTCCTGGGAAAGCTCCACTACTTAACTTATAAGTTAGCTATATATGTCAGTCCCAAGAAACCTGTCTTAAGGACTTACATTTCCTCTTTGCCTTGTATATTTCAAACTCAGAGGAGGGATATGGAAGGAACTGTAGGTTTTCTCCAGGGAAAAACAGTCAATAAGCAGCAATGTTTGTTAATGTACAAAGAAGTACAAAGTTCTCTTTGCTTATCTTGTACACCTTCATATTATGAAGGTGAAGTTCACAGGGGAAATGAAGGTCTGATGTTTTTGAGGAAGGTATCCTTCAACACTTTTTCAGAATGGGAGAGTTAAGGCAAGAATGAGAGAACAAATTTTTAAGAATAGTTTTATTAATTTTTTTTATAAAAAAATTAAGTGATTCTGCAAACTGCAATGTTTTCAGACAAGATCTGATGATATTATACATAACATATATAAAACTTATTTATCATTGTCAGATAAATCCAGACATAAAATAAAGCCAAAGTAAATAAACCACAGGTATGTGAAGGCTTTAAAAGAAGCAACTAGAACCATTTATAGCATAGAAATGATAGTTAAACAAGACAAGCTTGCAAAAAAAAAAAAAATGACCCTCATTTTACCAAGTAGAAGCAATTAAAGTATTCAAATATCCTGAGTCCTTGGCCATGTTCCTCCTTGCTTGGAAATGAAATCAAGTCAGACTAAATGAATATGGTTCTATTTTGTGATCTAATATTAAGCGTTGCTTTTGACCCTACTCTCTCTAAGCATA